GACATTTTTTCGTTCTGCTGTGCATGGGGTCGCTATGGGTCGGTTCCGACTCGATGACACCTGACAACAACAACAATTGTTGCTGTTGTTAAGTGCTGTTGAATTGGATCCAACTCATAGTGACCCTATCCTATCTAGATAGGAGCTTCTGAGGACTGGTTAGTGGATTTGAACCGACCTTGAGGTTAGCAATTCAGTGCGTATTCTACAGTGCCATACCAAGACAACTGTTGCTATATGTCCTCAATTCATTTCCAACTCAGTGACTCTATGTACAAGAAAATCAAATGCTGCCCAGTATTACACATAACACAGATACTGAGTTCTGAAATACAGTAATTTCTCAGTTATTCTGTTTATTGTCGCCATATAAGATTGGAAAAACTTTGGGAAAGAACATTTTTATCTTCACTGAGTCAGTACAACACAAATAATCTGTAAATTTACCACAGACTGTTTTGCTTTAGTCTCCTCAATCTACACCCTGTGTTCTTTCTAGCATACTAGTATTCATCAAGCAACTCTCAGAATAATCTTTCAAAGAAACTGTAGTAATTTAATTAACTCCTTCCCTTTTTCCATAATTGTCTCATAAATTTGACAGGTTAAAATTTGACCTGGGTTTTAAGACCTTCTAAAGGTAGTAATAGGAATAGCAGTAGAACAGAGAGTCTCCAAGGATTTGAGAATACTAATGTGCACACAATTCATATCTGCTTTAAATTGTTTTAAAATGTTAGATGTTTACTAACTTTCAAGCATCCATTCAAAATTAAATTGTTATTAAATGACAGTTTGTTGTTGTTTTTAAATGCCTTTGAGTCAGTTCTAACTCATAACGACCCTGTATAGGGTTTCCAAGGAGCCATCTGGTGGGTTTGAACTGCCAATCTTGCGGTTAGCAGTCCAGTACTTATCCTACAGCACAACACCTGCTCTCCTTAGTTCAAACCCACCAGCTGCTCCTCAGAAACTCTAGCTTATGAGTTGGACACTCTAGATTATGGGTCATTATGAGTTGGAAGCAATTTGATGACACAACTGTTGTTAGTGTGTCAATTCATTTAACGATTAATTTGGCAGGACCAGGCAATATTTGTCTTGTTGTGCTTATGGTCCTGTTGTGCATAGGGTCACTATGGACCATATCAAATAAAATAACTTTACTGATAACAATCAATACTTTTTAAAAAGAGCACTTAAAGTAAGGCATTTATGAAGACATTACTAAGAAGAAAACTGAACTCATTTCAATTATTGTGGATTTTATGTATACCATTATACTGACACTTCAAAAAAGGATGTGGTAAACACCGTACTCAAATTATAAAAGGAAAGATTTTCTTAATATGTGTTGTTGTCAGGTGCCACTGAGTCGGAACCGACTCATAGCAACCCCATGCACAGCAGAACGAAACAATGTCCGATCCTGGGCCAACCTCACTACCGCCGCCACACTCGATGCCATCTATGATGCCACC